TTGAATTGGATGGAGATGAAATGACTCGTATCATTTGGGCATGGATTAAAGAAATGGTTCGTTTCTTTTTTAAATCTTTCCGATAGACAAAAAAAAAATGAATATTTTTCCTATAGTTAATTTTTCCTTATGTTGATGTTGAATGCAAATATTATGATTTGGGTCTTGAAAATCGTGATGCAACTGATGATCAAGTTACTATTGAAGCTGCACATGCTATTCAACAATATAATGTTGGTATTAAATGTGCTACAATTACACCTGATGAACAACGTGTAAAAGGTAGAATAAATAATGAAATATATTTTTCGAAATAATTTTTTAAATAAATTTTTATTTAGAATTTTCACTTAAAAAAATGTGGCTTTCACCAAATGGAACTATTCGTAATATTCTTGTAAGGCATATTTTGAAAAAGAAGAAAGAAACAAAAAAAAAAACTTCTTTGTAATTTAGAATGGTACAGTTTTTCGTGAACCAATTATATGTAAAACAATTCCATTGTTAGTACCTGGTTGGAAACAACCAATTATAATTGGTCGTCATGCATTTGGTGATCAATATCGATGTCAAGATATGGTTATTAAAAATCCTGGACGTATTACTCTTAAATATACACCAGCAGATGGTTCACAAGCAACAGAAGTTGAAGTATATAATTTTACAAATACCGGTGGTGTTACATTAGCTATGTATAATACTGATGAATCAATAACAGGATTTGCTCATTCATGTTTTCAATATGCACTTAAAAAAGTACGAAAAATAAATAATCGATTTCTATGATTAATTATTATTATTATTATTATTATTTTGATCTTGTAGAATTATCCATTATATATGTCAACAAAAAATACAATACTTAAACAATATGATGGTCGTTTTAAAGATATATTTGAAGAACTTTATCAACAAAAATATAAACAAGAATTTGAACAAAATAATATTTGGTATGAACATCGATTAATTGATGGTATATTTCTTTTTGATGGATAATCACATAATAAAATTCGACTTTTCTTTTTTTCTATATAGATATGGTTGCTCAAGCACTTAAAAGTAATGGTGGTTTTGTTTGGGCATGTAAAAATTATGATGGTGATGTACAATCGGATATTGTTGCACAAGGTATTTGATAAAAGGAATTTATTATTTTATTATTGATTTGTATTAGGTTATGGCAGCCTTGGTCTTATGTCTTCTATACTTGTCTGTCCTGATGGTAAAACAATTGAATCTGAAGCTGCTCATGGTACTGTAACACGACATTATCGTGAACATCAAAAAGTTAAAAGAATGAATAATTGAAAAAAACAAAAAAAAACTTTGATAATTTTTGTTTTTTATTTTCTAGGGAAAAGTAACAAGTACAAATCCAATAGCAAGTATATTTGCATGGACACGTGGTCTTGAACATCGTGGTAAACTTGATGGAAACGAAGAACTCCAACGGTATAGTTTTTGTTTTTTGATTTTAATAAAATTTGTTATTATGTTTCTTTTTAATCGGTCTTTTAATTCTAGTTGGTGTCGTTTACTTGAAGAAGCTTGTATAGAAACAGTTGATTCACAAAAAATGACAAAAGATCTTGCTATATGTATTCATGGTCTTAATAAGTATGATTTAGAAAATATATCGGATGGATCATAATGACTTAGAATAATTGTAAATGCAATATTTCAATCATTTATTATTTATAAAAAATACTCATTTATATATCAAAAAGTAGAGAATTTCAAGCTCTACAAAACAATCTACTTCACTTTTACAAAGAACCCTTCTTTTTTAATTTCGAAGCAACCAACACACTGAAATACATTGTATTATTCCTACCGCGGACTTAAAAACAAACTGTTTGATATCGTTACTGAGAAGTTCATTGGGTTTCTAAAAGACACGAAAATATTTTCGATGAAATCTTCTATCTTTCAAAACTTTAAATGATAGCTTCATGTAAAAACTCAGAGCACAAGAAATGAGAAAAAAACAATAAAATTTTACATCTATTTTAGGGCTTGCTCAGGTTTTCGTGAATTTTGACGAAAACATATCGTGCTGCCTATTCATCAGTCATGAAGTTTTGTAGAGAATGAAATTCTATTGGTATCCAAATAAGGACTTTACAACTGAATTTTAACTCAAAACGCAAATTTCATTATTTAAAAAATTACCATAGAGGATATTTTCAAGAGACTTTCAACTCACAAGTAAAACTTCGATTTCAGAAAGTCGATCAGCAGAATAAAGGACAAAATTCTCTGTCTTGATATAAAATTCTTTGTTTTCGAGATCCTCTATACTTTTTCAAAATACGAGCAATGGCTTTTAAATTCTGTACCTTTTCGTATTTAAATGAGAGAAAAATTGCATTTACATTTAGTTTGATTCATTATAACTCATTTGATAATTTTTATTTTTTGTTATATTCTTTTTTCTTTTTAGTATTAAAGAAGGCATGTATTTAAATACAAAAGATTTTATGACTGAAATCAAAAAAACACTTGATAAAAAACTTAATGATGTCAATTCAAAAGCAAAATGATCCAGTTGTTTTTTTAAGATAATTATAAATTCAAATGACATTTGACTATACATTTTTAGATATGTAGTCAAGTCGATTAAACAGTTTTTTTTTTGTCAATCAATATTTTAATATTGTTTTATTTAGATTGTTACGAGTGATTCTTTTTTATTTGTTTGTTGGTGATCTGTTTATGGTATTTTATTTTCTTGGAAATATTTTTTTCTTGATTGATAAAGTTAAACTAAAGAGATTGATCTGATATCTATTTGTAAGAGGATTTAAAGAATAACAAAGAAGAGAGCAGTTAATATAATTAATCAATCTGATATTACATTTAAATTTAATTTGAATGAGTTTATATTAAATCAAAATGCACATCTTTCTTTTTCGAATAAATAATGATATAGAAGATTGGATGTGTTTAGTATATTTATTCGCCAAGATCGACGTGGACGGTGTAAGATCAATTTTTCTGGAGAAGCAATGAAATTTTGAATAATCCAGGCGATAAAAATCTTACGAGCATTCTATAAGATCTTACTGGCAATTACGTGTCATAGGTAGATGCCCCTAGTAACAATAAATCAAACACGAAAGCTTTAAAGACGCGTATAACTGCTTGCAAATTACTACGTGTATACATGCATTTTATTGTCTCATACAAGAAGATACAAAAGTATATTAACGAACTTTCGCATGGCCAAGCAAGAAAATTGTGGAAAAATAAAAAAAAAACGAAATGCATGAAGCAATTTTACATGAACATGCAGAAATATAGCAATGTGAGTATTTGCAAGTGAAACACACGTCTATGCATCTGCTAGTGTTTTGCATTTATGCACAACGATTGCTGATATTTCAGATAACTTGCATGTTCGTGCATGAGATTCACCGGCTAGAAAAATGTCTTGCAAGTTAACGTGAATTTCTAAAAATTTTCTGTAAATGAATGAGCTTTTTTAAACTTTCCTGTTCGACTGAGTAGTTCCGCATCTTTACATCAAGTCTAAGAGCAAGAATTGTGATCGCTAATAATTTTCAAAGTATATCATGTTAACAATAAAATTTTTTGTCTTAAAACAACCTCTACTGTCAGAGGATTAATGAGACATGTTTGCAGTGTTTATGTAATAAATGTTTTGCTTTCACTTTTATAGCGCATATTTACCTATGATTTTGTAGAGAATTGAATACTGAGCCTTTTAAAATGAAACTTAGTTCATAATTATTAAAATTAACAGAGATATTAAGAAAATACTGAGAGGGTCATTTATTCTGACGCACCCGTTATTTATTGTTAGCAACTAATTGATCCTCATTCTGATTTCAAAATAATAGATATGTTTTTACTGTTTATTTTCAGACATTTCAGTTTTAAATTTTGTTCAAAAAAGAAAACAAAAATTACGAATGATGAATACTAAACCCACTCTTATTGATAACACACAATAAAGAAGATTAATCATTGTGTTTTGCTCATTATATGTTGATCAATCAGACTTCAATTCTTTTGATTAGAGTCACCAAGTATCAAATAGTCGGTCTTAGAAAGATGGAAGCCGATTTATGATCAGGATATTAGTCTTAATCACTTGATAAATTTTTAAGATCGCTTATTCTGACAGGAGAAAATTCAAAATAATCACATATCGGACGTGTATGATGGGAAGATTATTCATCAGGATAACAATAAACAAAATCATGAGACTATGAATCAATCCTCCTATATGAACTATAGAGCCGTATTGAATACATACATATATATACATGTTGAGTTAAGTAGTGTTACTCTAGTATAAACAGGAGGCGTAGAAATTCGAGGACACAAGAAGTTCCTAGTGCTTTCTTGGGTTCTTTTTAGAGGAAGCGCTTACTTCCTTTTGTAGTGTTGGTGCGCCGCCTATGAACATAGATGTAAATATTACCGATCACTTAACTGTCATTTGAATATATGTAATTTGTCTTTCTCATGTAGATGAATAAACATATAATTGTTTCGAGTGATTAAACCATACTTGAGTGTTTATTATCTATCATTATGTTCATAATACTATTATTAACGATAGCCAGAAGAAAGATTTCACTTTTCAATAAACAAAATGATATTATTCAAAGATTATTATAATAGATCTCAACAAAAGTTATCATTTTAAATTGAATTAATGATCTTCCTGTTTTTTCTTTGTACATTTAATTATTCTCATGACTATTGCTATTTGAACATTGAAAAATCAATTGTTATATTAAATTATCATTCTTCTAAATAAAAGATCATTATTAATACTTTTGATTATTTTAATTTTGAATTTACTAGAATTCGTTTAAGTTTATTCTAATATTCAATATAACAATAACATTTTCTTATAATCAATATATATATATATATTTGTATTTTTTGACACAACGTCAATTAGACCTTACAATATTCTGACTATAGAAATGCAATGATATATTTATGTGAATGTTCTTTGTCAACACATTATTAATCATCTTATTTTTTATTATTCAGTAGTTGACATATTCATATTCTATTCAACTGTATCCATGTTTCTTGATTATTGAAGTTATTGTTATGGATTCTTCTTCATTGTATGTTATAGGTAAAACTATTAATTTAGTTTTTTTTCTTACTAATCTATAAAATTATATACTATATTAATAGTCGTACTAAAATATTCTAATTCCTATTATGGTTATAACTCCCATGTGTATGGTTGTTTTAGATTCTTATCCAAGTATGATTTTCTATTAACATGTATGTCATTCATTGGCGTATTTTAGTCATAAGTTAATTAAATTGATCACAGTGAATTTCTCTTTTAAAACATCATATTTTCAATTGATTATTATTTAAAAAAATAATTTATGGATTTTATCGATTCTGCAGATGCAGTGACTTCAAAAATTGTTCACACAATTCTAATTCCAATTTCTTTTTCCGTCATGGTAATTGATATAACAAATCCAAATAATGATTTGATTAGAAAAATTCATTTCCAGAAAAGATTTGAGGGAAATAAATCCATCACAGTATTCCTAAAATCCAAAGCCTATTTTTTCATCAGTCAGCACTCCAAAATAAAAGTTTCTTTTCATTACAGAGACGACAAAAAACAATTAATTCTGTTGAAAATTAAATGCTTCTGCGTTCTCACTGACACTTTTTGACTGAACTACATCAATTTAAAGAAAAGCAGAAAAGTCCTTTGTGTCCCTTTTTTCCATAGGGAATAACGGGAAAGCCACTTTTAGGCTTTTCGTATAATTGATTTAGTTCAGTCAAAAAAATATCATGACGAACTCGAAGACATCTCATTTTCAAGAGAATTAGTTGCTTTATCCCCTATGTAATGAAAAGAAACTTTTATTTTGAGAATGTTGATTGTTGAAAAAACTAGATTTTGAATATTCTAGAGACACGGGGATTCTGAAAATGCTGTAAGAATTTTATGTCTCTCAAATCTTTGTTCGCAACAAATTTCTGTGTCCAAATCACTATTTGAATTCTTTATGTTTAGTTACCATTATGGAAAAAATCGACATTAAATCTATATGATCAGTTTTTTTTTGGAGCAATTGTACATACATTTATTCTATATTCAGTTAAATGTTTATCATCTTCGTTCTAATTAAAAGTTCATGACAATTTATCTAAACTATTCTTCATTTTTTAATGTCAATGGTCTTGATATTTGATTATTTAGCTTTTTTCATTTAAATAAAGATGTTGAACAAAATAAAAATAATTAAACATATTAAATGTGAATAATCAATATATATATATGTTTTAATACTAATTGATGCTTGATTTGTGTCGAAGTCTTTTTCAATTATTGCTTAATACAGAGAAACTTATGTACATACTAAAAAGATTCAAAAAATCTCAGTATACATTAGATAAAATTCTATTTCTTCTAGGGAAAAACATAATTTTGATTTACTTGGAAATGGATTCATTATCGACCAAGGAAAAAATTCATCAGAAAATTGACTTTTAGCCTTCTCAAAGTATTTTATACTATACTTAATGTCAAAATTATCAGCGTGGTTTTCTATCTCATTGCATACAATATGAAATATTGGTAATTTAACTTTCGTATTTTCTTTTTGAAACAAATTAATAAAATGAAGATCTATAGAAAATAAAAACCAATTCTGTTGACATCATTTGTTCTCGTAACTTTTATTATTCATAATTCTATTGTTTTAAATATTTCTATATTACTGATATTGTTCTATTCGATCTTATTTTCATATAGAAGCACATTGACGTTATTCATTTTAAAGTTGACAGGTCAACTTTTTTTTATTTTTCGTTAGTAGTTTATTTATTTTTTTTATTTCTTCGGTGTTGTGTAAGCAAAATAAAGAGAAAGCATGAGTGAGAAGATAATATTAGTTATCCAAAAAAAGAGAAAAATAAATGATAATTAATTTTATTATTCATCATAGAATAAAATATTTCGACGTTTTCGTTTGCCAACAAAATTTGCTGGACGTAATGATGCTCGTTTACCAGCAAATGGTCGAAGTGATGCACGTTTACCGGCGAAAGGTCGAAGTGATGCACGTTTACCAGCGAAAGGTCGAAGTGATGCTCGTTTACCAGCAAATGGTCGAAGTGATGCACGTTGTTGTAAACCATAAGGCCGTAAGGATGCACGACGATATAAATCATCAATTTCATCAATTTCACCATCGATATTATCATCTTCTTCAGAACTATGAACAACATGATGTTCTTCATTTGTATCAGCATATGATGGTTGAACTGTACACCAAAGAAGAACTAGAAACAATCAAAGGAATTGTTATTAATAAAAAAAAAACAATAACAACAAATATTAAGAAGAATCATACCTAGGGATATTGTAATTCCGAGAAGCAAAATTGAATTTTTACTACTGTACATTTTGTAGTAATATTGCTTTAAAAGAAATCTGAAATAAGATGCTTAGTTCTTTTTGTTAATTTCATATATATATATATATATAGATAGATAGATAGATATATATATGAGAGAGAGAGATAGAGGAAGAAAATAATATGTAGGCTTTAGTTATGGGAATGAGAGATTTGTCAATAGAAACAATCGAAGTCGTACTTATTCTCAGTTTATAATACTTAATTTGGAAAAAAAAGAAAATATTCATTTCGCATATTTATTGAATTCAAACAGATATAATGATACAAGAGAGAAAAAAATAGAGCAAGCATATTAGACTTGTTTTTTCTTCCTCGGTAATCTAGATGTTGTTAGGTTTATTATTAGTATTCATAAAGAAAAGAGAAAATTTACAAATTATAATGTTTTACACTAAAAACTAACAACAATTTGTTTGACAAAACGATATATATTTTTTCTACATAATTAGCGTCTGCGAATATTCCGGTTTGATTCATAACTCTATGATTGGCGTGAGCACACAATATCATATATCAGATTCTAATCAAGTCATTCTCACGTTCATGAATATATGTATATGAAATAACACGTATTTAAATAATGTATCTTAAAACAATTATAATCAATAAGACACATATCCTACACTGTTGTATGTCGTTCCTATAGACTAAAAAGAGATCTACATGCTCAAATTTCGTCTACTATGCTATACTCCTATTGTCATAATACTATGTGTTACTATGAGGTGTTGCCGGCATTGTTGACATGTTTTTCCAAACGAATAAGCAGAAAAACAATGGAACAATTTTAGAAGAAATAATATGTTAGTTTCATTATCTATCTTTTTTTTGACTCACTCGACAATTGTATGAATGAATAATGAACTAGATCGAGCTAAAAATGATCGCTTCCGAACGATAGTTTCGAAGCATTATTATCGAGATGATTAGTGTCTTTATATATGCGTATGGATAAAGATAGAAAAAATAAAAGAATCTATCCGTTGATAAAGATTACCAATAAAAACTAGCTATCAAATTAGTATCGAGGGTGTTACAGATAGAAAGAAACAATCATTTCCGCGTCGTTTCTTTTAATGCATGTGAGCGTACATTCATAAATCTTTTTTTCTTTTTGTAATAAGATCGATTGAGCATTATCACTATCTAGTCAAACTACTCTAAGGGGAATGAGACATGAAGAACAAAAAATAAAAAAGAAGTAGAAGAAGAAGAAGAAGAAGAAAAGAAGTCTACTGATTAAGAGACTAAAACTGATGGAATTGTTTTTTCTTATTTCTTATTGTTTTTCTAATATTTCCCTATAAAGAAATGTAGTGTAATAATTGCGGATCTTCAAACATTTCAAAAGTGAAACATAATATTGAAAAAAAAGAAAACACTTTTTTCTTTTCATTATTTTCACGCGCATTTATTTAATAACTTAATAAAAAAGATAAAATAAAATTTAATATATACTTAATTTTTATATCATGTATGGGAAATAGATCATGTTATTCAAACATTCGTCGAAGAATACAAAATACTACATCTACTCTTATTGATTTAACAAATACTTCACAACATGCTTCTCGTATGACACAATATCATATTTTTCATGATAAATCTCCTGTACAACATCAACATAGATACGAAATTACATCAATAGATAGAAAACAAAAACATCTTGTTGATTTATTTTTTGTACCTTATTATAATATTGAAACACTTACAGATAACCTTAATAATGAACAAGAATGTGCCATATGTTTTGAACCTTTTTATCAACAAGATATTGTAGCAAGACTTGAATGTTTATGTATTTATCATAAGAAATGTTTAGATGAATGGGGTCAACGTAAACGATGTTGTCCTTTACATATGGATAAAATGATATCATTAACTAATTTAAATAAATTTATTTCTTCAACACAAATAATACAAGAACAAAAACAATAAAATACAAAATTTTTAATATTTCAAATGAAAATTTCAAGGATAATAAATCGAAAGAGTGAATACATTTTTTTTTTCGTACTTTGAAAATTGCTGATCATGCTATCAAAACAAATATATGCAATATTTTCCATTTTACAACCTTCTACGAAATGTAATGAGTCAAACGATAAAAGAACGATCGAAAAATAAATAAGTTTAGAAAATAAAAGAGAGAAAAAGATATCCTGCACAATGTGACACTGCTAATTTAACAACGGTTAAATTCGGGAACACATTTAAAGATTATGGTATAAATTTTTGTATTTAACTACTAATTCCTTCATGTACTGACTACAATTAGATAAAAAGCTGCAAAAGATTTGGTTATAGTTCAGATTAGGTATATTGTTGTTACCTACTGCCCATTTCAAAATATAAGGCACGTGGGTATTTTTTGAATAACTTTTGATAGGAACAAGATAGAGAACTGTGGTTTTCACTGTTGCAAAGAGACTGATTCAGCGCATCAATTCATATAAAATTGTTAAGGTTTATCTCAAAAATAGGTAGTGATCCATTATCATCTTGGAAGAGTAGACTATTGCTCTTTGAAGGTAGAACAAATCTTAAACTTTGAGGAGTGCGTTAGAATCGACAGCTCAAGAGCTACAAAACTATATATAATGCTTGATTCAAAACTTTACTGATTTGTGAGTTCTAGGTACTATATTTGACAATTATAATCTATTTTGCCAGCGTTTTCTGTAAAAAAACTTGTTTTCTTTGAGTTTTTTTCGTTTTTCCTGGAAAAATCAGGCCTGTTTTTAAAGCATTTTTTTGTTCAACTATTGCAAAAGGTTTCAAAAATCCAAGTTAAAAATCATTGTTTTATACGGTTCGATGCATTTTTATCTGCTCTTTCCAATGGTAAAAACCACAGTTCTCTATCTTGTTCCTATCAAAAGGTATTCAAAAAATACCCACGTGCCTGTTATTTTGAAATGGGCAGTAATTCTTAACAGTAAAGAATGAATTACATAAGTACTCATTCAAGTTGTTTCTTCAATAGACTTAGAGCATAATAAAACTAGTAATTTAAGGGTTATATTACCCTATGCCAAGCTCAAAGGAAATTTCTTTCCACATGTACTTGTACTGTCAATAGTATTCTATATTTTTTCGCTATCATCATCATTATTCAGTTGTCACAATTATATGTAAAATTTCAATGAGAACTATGATACGCCTATTTTAGATCAATAAAGAAAATATTTGTTTTACATTAAAGTGCGTATTGCACTTCATATTGAAAGAACATTTATTCACGACAAATTATATTCTGTTTTCGGAGACCAAGCTTCACCTCACAGAAAAAACATTAGATGATCAAAATGGTTTCGTGAAGGTCGAGAACAGGTTGAAGATGAGCAACGATCTGATTGACCTGTAGTAGAAACAGCATCCGAAAAAAATATTGAAGAAGTTCATGATCTTATCGATGATAATCTTCATCTCACATTTGATGAAATACAATCGGAAAATGATCTTAGTCATGGTGCTATCGAGCGAATCATTTCTGACTACTTAAAGCTAAACAAGTTACTGCTCGCTGGATATCCGACTAGCTGACTGATATTCAACGAGCTGAACGAATCCGCATATGTGAAGGAAATTTGACAAGATTTCAACAAAGAACATGCCGATTATGTGAGGAAGTGACTGGTGATGAGTCATGGTTTTGTCATAAACAAATTGGTCGGAGAGGATCAAAGGCTACCTGAATAGTAAGCGAAGAGACTCCATCAACTATACTTCGACGAAGTCGTTTCGCTCCAAAAAACATTGTTTGCTATATTTTTTAAGATCACTAACCTTGTGTTAATCTATTATGTAGAACGAAAACAATCTATTGATCATTATTATTACATCAATGATTGCTTATAACCTCTTCTCAACTAAATCAAAAAGCAGAGACTATCATATCGTAAACAGGCCATCAAACTCCACCATCATAATAACAAGCTAATCGGGTCGAGCAATACCATACAGCGGAATTGCACGATTTTATATGCCAATCTTAAAGCCACTATTTCTGATAAAAACCATACTGTATGATCCTAATGTCATGTCTTATACGATTCATGAATGATTTTCTAGAGTTCACTACAACGTTGCATACTTGACTTTCTTCTACTTTCGGCTGTCATCTTGTTTTCTTAAGAAAATCTTTTATCTTTACTCGCATATGAATATTTTATCAAAACCGCAAAAACTAAATGAAAACAAAAATATGCACTTAAAAGACATAGAAAAAATTATTTTTATTGAATTTGATCGTTAACATGATCTAAATTAAAAAATAAATATTTTAAACAAAAAAAACCTACATCTCCTTAATCAAATCAATGAAATTAACTGTGGAGCAGATATCTGCAAACAGTTGAGTTACACAGTCTAGCCGTGAGAGACGAGACGGGTACGAGACGATGTAAGATTTGGCGATTCGTTTCGTCCACTTACAATGAAGTATTTGCTGAATAGATGTCAATTTTCTAATGACATGTATCAATTTTCTTATAGATATTTTTTCAGTGTTAGTATTATGACTAAAAACGAGCATACATGCATTCATACAAATATGTGTTCGATTTAGTCTACTATTTTTATCCTATAATTAAATACTGCACACTAATCTATCTCTGACAGTCACCTAAATAATTTACAATTTAAATTTAATCCTAGATATAGGTAGCATGTGTACATTTGATTCGTCTATTCCTTCATCTAATGTTATTGATGTAGCATAAGATATTTATTCAACTGTTCATGATAGTGGTCATTCTTCGTCAAGTACTCCTGAAATTACCTGCAATAACATTTGTAGTTGACTCATACGTCACTAAGTCCTTGATAAAGCGGGGCGAGCAGTTATAAAAACATTGAGGGAAGCGTCGCTGAAAAAGTTTCTCAGCTGCTTCGCAGATCTCTGCTGTAAAGTAATTGTCTAGTAGATTAGCACGACTACATAGAAGATGTGTTTTCAATTCTAAAAAAGTAGCGTCTAAATTAGAACGTGTTTAGTCTCTTTAATATTTATTTAAATGTACAAAAATATCGTTATAAAAACTATTTGTATAAATGAGATCTAAAATTATGATCTTATACGTTCGTATAAAATTCCGATTATTAGATTTTGCAAGAATTTTATAGTAACAATCATATAAAATTCACAGTAACATCTTATAGCCAGATAAGTATTAATCCTCATAGTAAGATATTTGTACAATTTTGAAAGATCATACAGAATGAACCCTACGATACCCAATTATGATTAAGATCTTATACAATCTTCATAAGATTTTTTCCACCTGAACACGTGTTCATGAAGATGTATCTGCCTATCTCTATCCAGACGACATTACAATTACACAACAACAGTCATCTAATTCTCCCGATTTGACACCATGCGATTTCTGGTTATTCAGCTTGATTAATAAACAAAACCTGACCCACAAAAACAGCTTTGAATCGTTTGCATCGTGCTGTAACCAGGACAATGAACTCATTTGGTAAAGATAACTACAAAAGAACTTTTGATAAATGGATTGAATGAATAAAGTTGTGTATAAATAATCATGGCTATTATTTCGAAAATGTGATCAAATAAACAGTTAATTTACTTTTTTCCGCAATTTTTTTTCTTCAAAAACTCAGCCTTAAGTAAATTCGGCATTGATTTAAGAAAAATCTGAACAATAACAAAAAAAAAACCTCTTCTTATGGTGGATAATATAGGCTTATCAATATCATAAATATATATTCGTTACAATTGTAAATATTAACCTATACAGAGCAAGTTAAGTTTGACCTCAATAAGATCTATATTTGTTCAAAGAGTGATCTTTATCATTGAGAAATTTCTCAATAATAAAAAACTTGTAGAATGTTTTTCTTTTTCTTTGTATATGTTCCTTGATAAAATCTTTATTTAGTTTTATTAAAAGTGTTGTTTAATTAGAGTTTTTCTATTGTTTATTCTTGATAATAACATCTAAAATTGAACAATTATCCGCATCATTTATTATATAACATCGATCTTGAACGAACGCGGCGTCAGATAATAAAATTCATGGCATATTTTCTCAATTTTTCCCCATATGAACATCATTTCTTACTGGTTTCACTTGATTGTACTCTCAATCAAATAAATACCTACGTTGAACTAATAAATTCATATTGAGAAGAATATTTAAAATCAAAACTTTCATCTCGCGTATCATCAATACATTCATAATAATAGAAAGAAGAAAAAAAATCAGACAAAAGTTTACGATTTCTCATCGATGAATAAACAAATAGATGAATACATATATTATATTTATAGAAATTTTAATGAATAGTGTAAACATCATAATCATAAAAAAAAAAAAGAAAAACAAACATTATATTAAATCAATGATACCATCGATTTCGTTGTCGACGTGTATGATCGTCATAACGTTGAGGAAAATAACTCACGATAATAGGATCTGAAGAACGATATCGATCACGATCATCATATTCTCGACGCTTATGCTTTCGTCGAATACTATAAAGTTATATTCAAGATTTAATATTAGATCTAATAAAAATAAAAAGCAACATACCGTGGTAAACGAGGATTGTCATCATAGTGTGGTGGAGGCGGATCACGTGAATGATGGCGTGGCAATGGTAGAGGAGGCTGAGCATATTGAGATGACACGCCAGGAGGAGGAGCTTGTTGTACGTGAGCAGGTGGAATGGGAACAGAAGCATGATTAAAAACGCTTGGAGCCAAAGGAACTGCAACTTGTTCAAATGGTGTACGACCTAACGGCGCAGGAGGAAGAGCAGACGAGTTTTGAAGATGATAAGTTTTTGGAGATTGAGCAGGCTGCGTTACAGAATTAGGTGGATATTGTTGTTGAATAGATTGATTTCCTTGATAATCATATGGTTGATTATAGGCCATTGATGAATATTGTGGTTGAGCAGGATGAATTGTTTGATTATCATATGATTGATTATAGGGCATTGGTGATGAATATTGACCATAATTCATATATTGCATCGATGGATCCCAATAAACTGGCGGTTGATCTACCAAATAGTTATCTGGATAAGACATTTGTCCATTATTGTTATGAATTTCTTGTGGATTAGTTTCATTGTTTGTGAAATTGTTATATTCCGCATCGCGATTACTAAACAACGAATTTTCTGTCTTTTTTTGAGACATGTTGCAATAAAAAAATTGTTCTCTACATAAATGGCATTACTTTTTCAACCAGACATGACATCATAATAATTGATTCATTTTGCCTATACAAATATATATTTCTTTTCTTTGAATGTAAAAAAAAAAAAAATGACAGAAAAAGAAAAAGGAAGAAAATAGTTTATTTTAATATAGATTATTTCGATCCAATAATTTTTTTCATATCATATTTTCTTTTCTTATTTAAATATTTTAATTTTCTAATCATATGTAAACATCTTGTTATAATAATATCATTTTGAAATAAATATTGATTTTGTTTAACTAAACGAATACATGATATAAAAAAAACATATTTACATTGATGAAGTAATTTAATTGATTTTTTATTATAATTAAATGTTTTCTTAATTAACATACGTAAACCTGAACGTATTGTACGAAATAAAAATAAACTTTTTGATTTTATATATTTATTTGAATAAAATTGTGCAAAACGATAACACATTGAATGTAAACGTTTAAAAAAATAACATGATAAATAATAAAAATTTCTTATTAATGTTTGATCTGATGTATATAAACGATCAAAATAATATGAATGTGAACGTAAATATAATGCATTTATTAATGAATGACGTAAATTATAACCTGTTTCACGTATTATTTTTATTGTTAATTGATTAATTTTTTTTTCAATATTTTCATTTTGATTTATTGTAACAAGTATTTCACGTGTTTTAATATCAACAAGTGAACCCCAATATTCAATAGGACGAAATTTTTTCATTGTTTTATAACGTATATTTGTTTTTGTTTTTAATGAATTATTTATATGATGTAATTCATTGAATTTTTTTATCATTTTTAATTTAATACGACGTAAACGATAACGATGTGGTGATATAATTAATAAATCATCTTCATGACGTACAGCAAATTCATCTTGTAATGGAATAAAATCAATATCATGATCAATTTTATTTAAATATATTTGTCCAAGC